TATGGTATCAACAATTCCTCCTACAATTCTCTGAATTTCTTTTTCTGCCGCTTTGCAGCCATTTTGGATGCCATGTTGAGTGTCGACTGTAAATATGACACCTGGTATATTCAGTCCGGGGATGTCTGAACATTAATAAGCAAAAAAAAGAATTCCCGACCTACTAACTGTGAATTTGTTGAAAATGTTACAAGAAACAAACATATTTTTATTGATGCCTAACAATAAAAAGCCATTTTCTTCTTTTTACTACCCGTATTAGTAGATCGTGAGCTGCAAGTTGACACCGTTGCTGTATTGGTGATGCTGATGGGGAACTGGTTTTGGTAGTTGGTGAGCTGTAAGTTGACACTTGTATCGGTGATTGCTGATGGGGAGCTGGTTTTGGTTGATGGTGAGCTACGAGTTGACACTGTTGTTGCTGATGAGGCACTTGTCGTAGTGGAAGGTAAACTGGTTGGTTCTGGATGATGTATCAACTGGACTATTGATCTGTTTTCTTGCACTTGAAGTAGGGAGTGGTGTACTATGTGTAGCACTTGCAGTCTTATTTTGCATGGATGTTTGCCGTGGTCTCTTCACCAGTTGTGGAAGTGGATCCTCTCTAGGATGGTTATCATCAGTCTCTGGTTCACTAGTCTGTTGTGGTGGTTTGGTTGAGAGTGATTTTTCTAGTTCTTGAACTGTCTCCACCACTGGACAGCTGATTTTCCTTTAGTTCTTTATTTTCCCATTAAGTCCTGAATTAGTGCCTTTGTTGCTTCTTGTTCCTTCTGATTAGCCCCAAGGTCTAGGTCATTGCAAAAAGTCAAAGTTGTTGGTATTCTATGAAAGATTTTGTCACAAAAATATATTTATGAAATAAAGAAGTCCTAGTATCTTCCATTCAAAAGTTATGGCCAAAGGAAACGTATGGAATTTTCTGTGTTACAGTAGGTCTATTGTCAAGGTCAAATTTGGTGGTAACTAAAGAAAGGTCTGATCACAAGAAATACATATTTGAAGTATGAGAGTCATAGCTCCATTAAATTAAAAGTTATCGTAGGGTTCATGTTTTTGTGACAGACAGACTGACGGATGAAGAATGAGATTTAATGTCCCATCACTTTCGCAGAAGCGGGGGACAATAAGTCAAATAGGCAATTGCAATGTTTGTTTGTCTCTGCTTTTCTACCATGCGAAGTCTAAATCTGGAAGCGAAGTCTTTCAATGTTTATCCATGGAAACAAATGACAATAGTCCAAAGATTAATAACACAAGTCAAAACTCTGTCAATCGTAGGCCTAATGTTTATAGAGCAAGGTCACTTCTGTTTTGCGGTATGACGTCTCTTAGGGCGGGATTTTCAAACCTCCATTGTTGGGCGCCAAATTTGCAACCGGGTTTTCCGTATAATAAGACGAAAGCTTAGGTCGTGTTGATAAGGGTTCTTTTAGTTAGTAAAAGATAATTAAATATGGGTAACAACCTTACAAAACATGTAAACATAATAAATATATTTCATTAAAAAAAGTTGTACTGTTAAACATTAAGCCATATATAAGAAAATATCTATATATAAATAATAGGACCTGTGTACATTTGTTTACTTGCGTTGACAACAAAGTAGCTGCAAATAATTGCATCAAATTTAAATTTTGAAAATGTTGACGTATTTCCCCCTCCTTTTTAAGCAATTCATCCAAAAGCAGTGGCATTGGCGCCTGGAATAAATTGTCTGCGATAGTCTGTGTTCTTTCTGCACCAATCGCTTTGCGCGAGAATTTGTCCGGGACTTGTCTAGAACAGGTCAATGGAGCACGACCCAAATCAGTTTGCAGGTGCATACGATGTACAAACAGTATAAGCGGCATCTTTGACTGCAATTTACACTTAATTTTCAATAAATTTTATTTATATTTAACGGTATTTATTTTGTTTACTTACTCCAGTGATGGGACTTCAAATAATTTTTTTCTGTGGAAATTAAGCGTCACTAGCATCGAAATCAGGAACATTGCGTCGGTAGAATTCAATATCTTTATCCGTATGCTAACCTTGTAAAATTCATATTGATCACAGGTGACAACCAACACAATTTTTTAAGTTCAACTAAGATGTGTAATGTTGAACTTATTTGCGGAGTACAAAAGTGGTTGTTGCATGTGAAAGGGTCTAATTTCAGCAAAGATTACTCATTTTCAGCATAATTTAACAATTTTGCGCAAACATTCGATTTTTAGCGCGTGACAGTGACGTCAAAGTTAAAAATTACGTCATTTTTGTATCTGTAGAATTTACTTCGCACCTTCCTTACTCCAATGCATAACATCAAACAATGATACAAAGAGGATTAAAATATCGTATTACCTGCGGCAAATTATTGCTAATACCGTAGTTTGTTCTATATGGCTACTTGTGTCAAACCTTCTATTGTTAATGCCTTGGGAGCTATCCCTAAATCACATTCTAAGGTTAGGTTTATTCATGATGCTAGTCGCCTATTGCATATGTCTATTAAGGTATTAGGGGTGTAATGGCCATGACATTGAATATGACCTAATTAAGCATATTTATAATGAACAACACTTTCGGCAATATTTCCCTTAGTTTCATGCAATTTTGTCCATATATATTTCTTATGTGCTCATTAATGTAACTGTACCCTCTCGCCAGTGGTGCACCCTTAATAGACAAGGGGTAGAGATGTAATTTTTCTTGTAAGCCAGAGAACAGTTTAATGTTTCATGTATTCATCTGTAAAAGTAAGCCCTAGGATTGTAGACATTCAATTTTTTTTAGTTCACAGTCATCAGATGTGATATATGAATACTTGTAATCGAGAGAACTAAGTTTCTGCTTTCAGTGAAAATTTTAGCAATATTGTTATAAACCCGTTTATATTATTCTGCCATAAAAAAAAATTATGGTAGGGATCACTGGGTGAAAAAAGTGGTTTCCCATCATGGGAAACTTTATGGAAACCACATGGAAACCTCAAGTTTACATCATGTTTCCCAGTGGTTTCCGTAGCGGATGCTAAGTTATTCCGCCAAGTTTCCGTGACACGGAAACCCCCTACGCTCCGATTCCATAAAGTATCCCGAACCACGGAAACCTCTGTAAACCTGAAGTTTCCCGAACATCCATGTAGTTTCCCGTAAAGGGAAACCTGAAGATTCCACTGGTTTCCAGAATTAGGAAACTTGATGGAATCGGAGCGTAGGGGGTTTCCGTGGAATGGAAACTTGGTGGAATCTTTAGGTTTCCTGTTACGGGAAACTACATGGAAGCTCGGGAAACCTCACGATTTCTTAAGTTTCCTTGACTCAGGAAACCATATGGAATCGGAGCGTAGTGGTTTCCGTGGAATGGAAACTTGATGGAATCTTTAGGTTTCCTTATATGGGAAACTACATGGAAGCTCGGGAAACCTCATGATTCCTAAAGTTTCCTTTACTGAGGAAACCATATGGAATCGGAGCGTAGTGGTTTCCGTGGAATGGAAACTTGATGGAATCTTAAGGTTTTCTTTTATGGGAAACTACATGGAAGCTCATGAAACCTTATGATTCCTGAAGTTTCCTTGACTCAGGAAACTATATGGAACTTGTGTAGCACTTTCTGTGTGGCGGAAACTTTGTGGAATTATCTGGAGTCCCATTCCTGGTGGAAATTACTGGGAAACTTCAAGATTCCCTAACTTTTCTAAAGGAAGCAATTTGAAATAATGCGTATTCTTTTAAAAATCTATCAAAAAAAATTATTACATGTAAAAGAAAAAAGCATTACCATTTTATATGTTTAATAATTCATTTGATGTACAAAAACTGTAACTGAATTTTTCAATGATATCAAAATATTAAATAATTTCATATATCTTAGATAAACAATGGAACAGTCTTTCACATTTAAGTCCATTCATAAGGGTCATTAAGTACTTCTTTCAACATCAGTTTCCTGGTTTTCTTCACGTCACCTATGATCTGCAATATTCATAAAAAAATATTATATGATGACAGAATTATAATGCTTGAATATAACTTAGAAATCTGAAAGATCAGTCAATGTCCTTTAAAGCTGAACACGATTCATAAAAGTATTGTGTCCGCCATTTTAGTTCTCGAGACTCCCTACTTTGCAGAACCCTATAAATAGGGCAAGATTTAGAGACTGTTCAGTTTAATCAGTCGACACCGGAGAAGACGGACGTATGCTATACAGGACTTGGTAGCGAGAATAATAACCTAATACTTCGTCTAATGCAGGGAAGTAAGATACTAAATAAATTTATAATTATAGGTACATAATTCTGTTCAGTATACAAGCAACATAGATAAACGTAACTGCAATAAAATATAAACAAAGGTAATGCAAGATAACCAGCACGAACACGGGTCGCCATTCCACGCTGATACCTGTGACAATAAAGCAGTCATGTGTAACGAATACGACCATTATACCCTAGTATTAATGTATCGTAGATAATGCTATCAAAAATGGCGTAAGCCTATTTACGAGTCGTGTTCAGCTTTAATATACCAATATCAATAATTACTTTCCATGACCATGATACATATGATTTCAGCATTTAATGTATCTCTTTAATATTAAATGCTTTATGATAAGTGAAAAAAAATAACATAATATAAAAAATGTTTTCAGCCTTATTATGTCATTGAAAATTTATTACTACATGTATCTCATACTAAGAACCATGCTTTAAGTTACATTAGTTTGAGAGAAAACATACCCTTTATAATAACAAAAATATTAGGGAGAGATTTTTTTTTTAATTTTGATATTCGACCTAGAAATTGATTGAAGATCATTGCAGACCCTCCACCCCATTGCACAAAAGCTAGATTACACCAGGGGAGAAATATACTCTGGACTATGGTTTTAAATAAAGATATACAGTAGATTTTGATACTGACCTTTGACCTAGAAAATTAATCCAAGGTCACTCTTCATCCTCTATCCACAGGCTCTCTGTAGTTTAAGTTTGAGAGAGAAATATTCACAGAACAAGTGATTTCAGATGGAGTGATGGGTAGACACTGTCTTAGGGCATCCACAGAACAGGACCTAAAAATAATGCAATATATATGTATTACAGTATATATACACATGTACTTGTATGTTAATGATTCATCATATGCTGCATTGGACACATATGATTTTATCATGGTTTAAGTATACATGTATCTTATGAGTAATTTTATACCGGTATTGCATGTATGCTTAGTTTATTTAAGAAATAAATAACAAGTTTATAAACTTCAATGGGAGAGATACCACAGATGTATATATAAACAAGTAATTTAATTTTTTTTTACATATATTGACCAACATTATTTACATCCATTCATCATGTTCATGAATTGGCTGATCAAAATTCAGTCAGTTTTAGATCTATATGATATACCATAAAGGACTTTCACATCCACAAAAGTTATTCCCCTTCGCAGGGTCGATCTGGGGTCAACCGGCTTAAGACGCTGTTTTCCCTCTTTAACATTATCAACTTTGAGGGAAATATCTTAGAAATAAAATTTGTATGAACATATTCATTATGATTTTCATGTTGCCCCTATAATCTGGCAATACAGATCGTAATTGTCCAATATTTTTGAAGATTGAAAATATTAACAAGTAACTTACAAAGAACAAAGTGGGGAAAATGAGCGATATACCGACAATTGGAGAAAACTCTATGGAAGGTGTAATTCGTCTATTGGTGATAACAATTCCTGTTTTAATGTCACTGAAAAATTAAGAGACATTTAAAATTTAAGCCCTATTGTCATACACGCATGTAGTTTCTTCATCCATATAACCTTTTAGTATTATAAAATTTACCAAAATTTAATACTTCAAATAATTTCATTGAATATTTATAAAATAAAAGAAACTCCAAAAACTTAGTGACTTGCAGAAATTATTCCTTGAAGAGAAAAAAATCTCTTCGCCCAAGAAAAGATAACTCACTCGGATGACAATAGGGTAGTAGCCGAGGCCTTCAGATTGCACTCGGAGGGCCTCGGGTACTACCCTATTGTCATCCGAGTGAGTTATCTTTTCTTGGGCGAAGAGATTCACATTGTGCAGAAAGCAGGGATTTTCGTTAGATAAAAGCTATTTTCGATAAAAATATTTGGAATATTTTAGCCTTGATAAGTACTAGGACATCATTTGTGCTAGTTCATTTCAGGATTTGTGCAACTTTTCTCAAGTAAGTTGATTTTAAAAATCGTGTGCTACTTTCGATTCTTCCCTTGTGTACTTTTATATGTGAAGTAGAGAACAGAGTGGGTAAGATGCCCCTGTGATTAAAGTAGAACTCTTTAGTGTGCAGTTTTTAGAGCTTCCTTTAAGTAATCAAAATAATGACCAGCAAGAAATCAGTTAACATGGGTTAATATGCATTTCCTTTTTTTCATTCAAATTTTTGGAGAGATCTCAGAGTTTTTTCCTGTTCAATTCAGGTTCAAGACGACAAAGTTTTATTGAAGTGTATGTATTAGAGAACTGATTGTATGTCAATCATAGCAATACACACATAACATGGAGGGGGCAAATTGTTTCAGCCCTAGCTTTTACATACAACTTCTTGTAGCTCACAGCTGATATACCACAGTTCAGTATTTAAATAAAATTTAGAATCTTTTTTTTTCAGGCAATTGTCATATACATACTAATCATGAATGAATTACCACTTACCAAATGACCACATCCTGAATCATCATACATTTTCTATGATTTTATCTCACTGGTTTTCTTTTAAAGTCACACAGTTTTCTTCTCTCTGAAATGATAAATTATGTCCAGGTACTATTGCATTCTAATTCAAACTAATTATGTAATAGCATTAGCAAAAACCGGGATGGAAGAAAAAATAACAAGAAGCCTCTGTCGAGACTGTAGCTCTACTGGTTTCTACTTATCAAAAACTGATGCACAGAATTATGTATCTTAGTATAATATACTTATGTGCCAAGTTATATTGAAATCAGACTAAAATTTAAGGAGGAGTAGTGTTTGCAGATAGACGGACAGACAGACAGACGGACGGACGCACTACTATCGCATAAGCTCTTCTGGTCTCTGACACTCAGGTCAATAATTGTGAAAAAAGTGATAATTCAAGCTGATGATTCATTTGCATTTCTTGACATACTATCAATATTAATTCACTATTAGGCTTTTCTTTTTTTACATCTTCATCTCAACAGGTTAGACATTACAAAAAAAATCTTTTGAGCAGTAAACTATTTCAATAAACAATAAAACAAACAATCTCTTCAGAAAAGTGGACAGGCTTTCACCTACATTCACTTTTTAGGTCACCTGAGTAAACTCAGGTGACCTATTGTTTATGTATATTTTTCCTCCATATCATCGTCATGCATCTGTTCTGATGTCAGTGATGAGGATATCCTTCATGAATAATCGGATAAGCTGAGATTGAAGACACTTTTTGTAAAAATATCGATGCTTTTATCAAAGTTTTGAACCAAAAATAATTAATTTATACCTTTCCATAAGTCGTAAGTTCCAAAAAAACAAGAGATGGCTATCCGAAAAGTCAGAAAACACATGGATTCAAACCGGATGTTTTACAGTATGAATTTAACTACGAAACCATGCTCGGTGTAACTATCATCATCCGGATAATTTGAGCGGGGGTAAATTTTTTTTTTTAATTCCGAAAAGGATTCATTTATATATAGAGAGAGAACATACATATGGAGCATACATTTTAATAAACATGATTAAAGGCGAAACGTTGCCATTTTACAACATACAGCATGCACATGCACGGTGCCTTTGGGGCCTCCATAATCTAAGTTATGCTATATCACTGTCTTAAATTTCTCTCTCTCTCTCTCTCTCTCTCTTTCTCTCTGCAATATGTACACTTAACAATTTAAAACTTAGGTATCCAACTTTTCAAAATGGCGTCAGAACAAAAGTTGCCTCCGATAGTGAAGATTTGTTGTTACCAAATATTACAACTATTTACCGTAAAAAGTTAACAAAAATATACGTACATTAATGCTTCATTGTTGGCCATTGCATTTATCACAGTCTTAAAGACACTGGATGGTGAAACCATCTTAACTTTTCCCATTTACCAGCTGCTTACACCTTCTTCTTCGTCCTTCTCGATCCTCCAAAAATGGCGCCTCGGGAAATTGACCAATGAAATAAAGCGCCTACAGAGCGATGCATGATGGGAAATATAAACTGTTTACATTCACTATGATTTAGTGTGATAATGAGATCTAATATTAGACAGTGTTAGAATTTAATTAAGTTCTTCCCTTTTCATGGAATAAAAAGAGGGGCTCCTAAATATTTTTTCCGACATGATGCGTAGGGCTAGTATATTTAGAAAAAGCAGAAAAAAATGTTTCTTGCTTGACACCTCACCTTATTTGCCTTCGGGATATGGGTTTCGGGGCTTGGTTGTTGGTAGTGGCCGTCCTTGCTGAAAGTACCCCCCCCTTCCCCGCTTCTTTTAACTGTTACATGCATGATATGAATTTATGATGTCACACCAAAAGATGTTAAAATTTTAAAAGCACATTTTTTTATTGTGAACTTTCCACAGGAATCCTAAAAGGCATGAAAATTGGCTACAATTATAATATGATTATCAAGAACAGTTTTTTTTTATTTCAATAGTGATGATTGAAAAGTTCGGTGATTAATAATTCATTGCTAATAAATTGCTGTTTTTTTTTTGTTTTTTTTTTGGGGGGGGGGCGGGGAGGGGGGATTAAATTACCAATTGAACTCCCTCCTTTTCGGGTTTAATTAGATTTTGAGCCTGCTATCAATATTACTGGTGGACCTGCTAGACTTTTCTGTAATTGCTACATGTACATTGTACTTTAAACTCCTTGGCCTTTAGCTTAAAAAATTGCCCACATCATTTTAAGGACATACGCAACGTACCTTACCTACTGATAGATTTCAAAGATATTCCAAAGTAAAACTTATAATATAATTATATTTTCATAGACAAAAAATTAGCATGCCTTACCAGAGGTTTTTATAAGATATCGAGTTTTGAAAATTTTTGCATTATTCAAAGAAAAATGTATACAAAATATTAATACATAAATTCCAGATTTAAATTCATCAAAAATTGTTTTAGAAGGGGTGTACAAATTCATGTATAGACTTTAAAAATATTGAACACAGGTCCTTCTTTAAGCGGAACTCTTCATCTCCAGGGAAGAACCCCAAAAAGTTCAACCTACGTTGCGTATGACCTTAACACGTAAAATTGTTAAATGAATCAGTCAATGTTGAAAACCTTTTTCTTAGGAGAGTTATATCTCTAGGTGGAACAAAACTAACATCTTATCAAAGGCAGGAAAATATAACAGTATTTTAATTCAGTATTTTAGTCGTGATTGGTATAAGTGAAGTCATGGGAAAGATTATGTCGAAAGTCATCTATACTCGTTGATGTGCAGGGCTGTACTTATATGCATACAGCTTTAGCTGGTCCCGCCCTGTATTTCTTTAATGTTTTTTTTTCGTTAAGAAATCTGGTAAGGTATGCTAATAAAAATAAAATCCCGGTTAGTTTATAACTCTAACGGAAATTACTTTCCTACAGGCCTGAAGATCGAGTTTATTAGTCACGCAAGTTTTTTTTTAAAAAGAGTAGCATATCGGCGAATAAAAATAAAGTAGTGTACAACATAGATAAAGAAATGTTTCTTGAAGTATTGACAAACTTCATACCTTTATAGAATGAAATCAACAAAAAGTGCACAAAAATACAATCGTGACAATTATACAATGAAATAATTATACAATTAATTCTTTTAATAGATTGCCTTAGCATGCATTACTTTTAAAGCCATTGTTCTTAAGGAAAACAAAATCATGCAAAATATTATAGACTTTTCTTTATCTTGAGCAATGGCCTTTGGAGAAAAAAATGGCTGAAAATTTTAAAGTTTGTTAAATATAGTGTATGTGCGTTTAGGACCCTACATTGTAATTTCATGCGAAAAGTGCAGGCGTTTACTACACGGGGATCTGCGTACATATTTAATAAACAAAAAAGGAAAAAAAAAACGTTTTATGTGATGAATTATATTATAAACATTATTTTATCTAATAAATGTCTTTGTAGTATGTTAGATTACAAATTTCACACAAAAACCCATCAACAATATTAAATACAGTTTTGATTTCACATTGATATATTAACGTCATTCTGATTTAATATAATTACACACGACGAGAATTAAGATCTATTCAATACCTATAGAAAATTATTTAATTTCCAAAGAGGATAGTTTTATTTCAAATCAGTAATGAAAATTGAAATAAAAATTCTAAATAGTTTGTTCTTTCATTGAACTTCTTAAATGTAGGTTATTTTATAAATATGTTCTCTTGTATAACTTTATTTATGGAATATACAATTTTTAAAATGATTAAATATACACTAATCATCATCTTAATTTAAAAGAATTTTCGATCGGAGACTGTGTGTGTACATGGTCGACAGCAGCCCATTGTTCCCTTTAGGCACAAAACCGTCTCAATTCACATAGAATATACAAAAAATACACAGTGACAGTTGTCTTCGCGGCACGTGTCTCCACGAGGACAGGTGTCCCTAATTACACAGGCCGACCATAGTGACTTCCTCAAAAGCGTTTTTTTTCGGGGGGGGGGGGGGGGGGGGCTTCTCAAGGAAAAAATGAAAAGCAACCCCCCACCCCCACCCCCCAATAATAAAAACAATAATTAAAAAAAAAAACAATATTCACTATTAATAGTAAAATACTAGCATGATAATACTCAACCCCCAGCCAATTCGATAAAATGATTCTTATCTGATCAGTTTATATTAATATATTAAATCATATTAAAACAAAATCTTTATCACTTTCTAAACTTGTATTTAAAAACTTGAAACACTAAAAATGTAATTTTGACAAACCAACTGAAGTATTTTTTTTCCTGACGGATTACCCCGGTATATAAGAAATGCCAACCTCTGGTATCTAACACAAATGCCTGTTAAGGTACCTTGATGTATTGTGAATACATGTGATTATGTAAAAATAATTCTTCAATGTCAGTTGCAAAATATTGGAAAAAAATTTAATTATTTTATTGAGGAACGTCTCACCTGTCCTTAATCAGTAATCGTAACTTGACATATTTCTTTATTTACTTTTTAATCGATCTTTTTAGTAAACCTTTTCTGTAAATAATTTCATTAAATGTACCCTTCCTTGGCTCTTCCATTTTTTCAAAGGAACATTCATCATAGACAGCTTCAAGAAAGTGGGATCGGAAATGATTGATTTCTACATAACTGCATGCACTTACTTTTTTCTATTCCACTTCACGCATTCTATATGAGTTTACCAAAACTTATGTGATAAATCAAATTCAAAATTAAATAAAATTCAGTTAAATAAAATTAAATAAAAATTAAATTGCGTTCACGGTGCTGAAATATTAAATTAATTACACAGAAATACACATCTAGTTATTTTAACTGTTTGAAGTTAATTATTTTGATACAGCATGTAAACACTTTTGAAATATTTCTATAATTGGTAAAAATATGGTAACATAATTAAATATTTAGCTTTTTGTAAATTAAAAGGTAGGTGGGTTAGTATTGATATATACTTTCAAAGTTTCCCTGCTTGGGAAACATGGGGAAAAACTACACATTGGTGACTTCCATGTTAAGAATATGTATGGAAACCACTGAGGCATGTTTTCATGGTTTTCCATCTTGGGAAACTTACAGGAAACCACAGGTTGGTTGTTTCCATATCGGGAATCTACATGGAAACCACCGGGGCATGTTTCCATGGTTTCCTATCTTGGGAAACTTACAGGAAACCACAGGTTGATTGTTTTCATGTCGGGAATCTATGTGGAAACCACTGGGGTATGTTTCCATGGTTTCCTATCTTGGGAAACTTACGGGAAACCACAGGTTGATTGTTTCCATGTCGGGAATCTATGTGGAAACCACTGGGGTATGTTTCCATGGTTTCCTATCTTGGGAAACTTACGGGAAACCACAGGTTGATTGTTTCCATGTCGGGAATCTATGTGGAAACCACTATGTGGTTTCCATAAAATGGAAACTATATGGAAACTACTGATGTCACGATTCCCATATGTTTCCATCGGGTTTCCAAATTTGGGAAACCTGGCTTTTCATCCTGTGGATGATCAATAAGAAAACATAGAAAATTTTGTGTGACATGTATTTGTGATAATATAACCACAAAGAAGAATTATTCTATCCACAATATTTATCTATATTCTACATCAGAGTGATGTACCCCCTAAAAATGTAAGCCATTATTTTTTTTGGTTCATGGTATAGGGTAGGTTGTAATAAAATAACAAATGAGCTTGAGCATATATAAACAAAAGATGATTGTCATACTAAACTCAATTCAGATCAGATTTATTTGCTCAGAAAATTGACCTCTTCTCACACTGACCTTGACCTAGATAGGGTTTACAAAATAAACTACATTTTTGCAGTTTCCATGTGTA